GGCCACCAGTTTCATCTGGAGATTATGTCAAAGATGAGTGTGAATGTGAGGCCATGGCCAAATGTGCTTGGGAGGCAGGCACCATCCTCATCCCTGTTTTACAGGTGGGGAAACTGAGGCTGGGAGATGCTGAAATGAATTGCTCAAGGTCACTAAGTGAGTAGCTGACACAGGTTGCCAAATCACAGCAGTGGGAGCTCCAAGCCCAGGCTCAGCCAAGATTTTTTAAAGCCCTTACCTTCACAGAAGCCTTGTCGTACATGCGGAATGTTAGTGCTGAGCACCATCCAAAGCTGCTTCTCTGATTTCCTCCATCTAACAGATGAGGAAACTGAGGCCCAGATGCAGTGCTGAGCTGCCAGTTTTCACACGACTACAGAAAGGGGGCTGGGGCCGGGTACGGTGGCTCATGCCTGTAACCCTAGCACTTTGGGAGGCCAAGGCGGGAGGACCATTTGAGACTCCATCTCTACCAAAAATTTAAAACTTTTCCGGACATGGTGGTATGACTGCCTGTGGTCCCAACTATTCTGGAGGCCGAGGTGAGAGGATGGCTTGAGCCAGGGAGTTTGAGGCTGCAGCGAGCTGTGACTGTGCCACTTCACTCCAGACTGGGGGACAGAGCAAGACTTAAAGTAAATAAATCAAGAGGGCTGGGCTTTCCTGCTTCTCCACGTCCTTTCGTTTCATCAGCTCTAGCTTTGCCCTCTGGGAACCTTCCTTGGGAACACAGGCCAGCAGTCTGTGGGTGCACTCAGGACTTTGAGCCAGGAAGGCCAGCTTGGGGCTGGAGTTCTAGTCCCAGAGCTACCGTTTTCTGTCTGTGTGACACTGGGCAGGTCACCTTCCCTCACTTGGGCCTCCCTGCTGATCTCATGGAGCTGTTGTGGGATCAAATGAAATCACAGATGTGAAAGTGCTTTGTAAGCTGTAAAGTGTTGTGCACTCAGAAAGTGGTTAGCAGTCTGGTGCCTCTCCTTCACTTTTGCTCTACCCAGTGTTCTTGTCGTCATCATCTGTGTGTGTGTGTGTGTGTGTGTGAGAGAGAGAGAGAGAGAGAGAGACGGAGGGGGTCAGGAGAGGAGAGTGCTTTTGAGAGGCAGTGTGACCCATGGACAGAACATACCTGCTGGGGTCGGACAGCTCTGGGGTCTGGGTTTGAACGTGGTTAGGCTGCTCACCAGTTGTGTGACCTAGATGAGGCACACAATCTCTCAGAGCCTCTGTTTCTTCATCTGTGGAATGGAGATATAATGTAACTATCTCAGGATTGCTGGAGGACAGAAATCATGTCACATGCTTACCACAGCACAGAGTAAGAATTACCCTAGCTAGTTTTGGAATAAAAAGTCAGGGACCAGGCACGGTGGCTCACACCTGTAATCCCAGCACTTTGGGAGGTGGATCACGAGGTCAGGAGTTTGAGACCATCCTGGCCAACATGGTGAAACCCCGTCTCTACTAAAAATTAGCTGGGCGTGGTGGTGCGTGCCTGTAGTCCCAGTTGCTCAGGAGACTGAGGCAGGAGAATTGCTTGAACCCAGGAGGCGGAGGTTGCAGTGAGCTGAGATCGTGCCACTGTGTACTCCAGCCTGGGTGACAGAGTGAGACTCCATCTCAAAAAAAAAAAAAAAAAGAGGCCAGCGCGGTGGCTCATGCCTGTAATTCCAGCACTTTAGGAGGCCGAGGCTGTAGCTGGGACTATAGGCGTGTGCCACCAGGCAACCTCCGCCTCCTGGATTCTAGCGATTCCAGGAGGCGGAGGCTGCGGTGAGCCAAGGTCATGCCATTGCACTCCAGCCTGGGCAACAAGAGCGAAACCCTGCCTCAAAATAAATAAATAAATAAAATAATTTGACAAATTGTAGTGAAAATGAATTCACATGTTAATAAATAGCCCCAGGGCTGGGAGTCTTTGGGACTGACCACATGTGAAGGCACTCATACAGGACATATGCACACACACACACACACACACACACACACACACACACTGATGTCCCAACTCCTTGGCAGAGCCCAGGCTGGACAGGTCAAGGGAGACACAGGTAGCCAGGGGAGGGATGACACAGATCAGCCTTGACTGTGTTCACTTGCCTGCTCCAGAAACATCACCCTGCACCCTAAGCAGTGGATGCTGGAGTCACTGGGGCAGCTGAGGGAGCAGGGGTCAGGTCTGGGTGTGTGTGTGATTACATGACTTTGAAAGTCTCTTCCTGCTCTAACCGTCACTGGAGCCACAAGGAGGTCCTTTCAGAGGGAGCACATTCCAACCTCCTCAGTCACTAACCCCCGCCTTGTGGCCGTAGAAACGTTCCTGGCCTCTGACCTCACCATCTTCCACCCAGTGGAGGCCAGGAGAGAACCCCAGGGGGCCACAGCCATCGCTGGAAGTTGGGGGCAGGGAGGCCTGAGAGACCCTGCTACCGTGCCTTGGTGGCCCTGTAAGACTGGCTCAGTCCCTTCCCCTTTCTGAGCCCCAGAGAATCCCCACCTATTGGGACTGCAGTGAAGGAAAGGAGGCTTGGCACCCCATGGGTTTTCAGTGTGGCCAGGGCATTGGAGGTGGTATTTATGTTTATCCGTTTCTATTCACTTTTTAGTTGAAGTCTATGTTGTTTTTGTTTGTTTGTTTTGAGATAGGGTCTCACTCTGATGCCTAGGCTGGACAGCAGTGGCAGGATCGCAACCCACTGCAGCCTCAATCTTCTGGGCTCAAGCGATCCCTCCTCCTCATTCTCCTGAGTAGCTGGGGCTACTGGCGTGTGCCACCGTGCCCAGCTAATTTTTTAGTCTCAGGCAATCTGCCTGCCTCGGTCTCACCAAGTGCTAGGATTACAGGCATGAGCCACCACTCCTGGCCTTTGAAGTTTATGTTTTTACTTGAGATTACATTTATGTAACAAACAATTAACTACTTTAAAGTGTACACTTCAGTGGCATTTATTACATTCACAATGCTGTACAACCACCACCTTTTTTCAGTTTCAAAACTTCATGACTGCAGAAAAACGCCCCATACCTATGAAGCAATCACTCCCTACTTCCCCTTCCCTCATCCCCTGGTATCCACTAATTTGTTTACTGTCTCTATGGATTTGCCCACTCTGGGCATTTCAAGTAAATGGACTCATACGTTATGTGGTCTTTTGTGTCTGACTTCTTTACTTAGCATAATATTTCTCTCTGTCTTTTTTCTTTTTTTTGAGATGGAGTCTTGCTCTGTCACCCAGACTGGAGTGCAGTGGCACAATCTTGGCTCACTGCAACCTCTGCCTCCTGGTTTCAAGTGATCCTCCTGCCCCAGCCTCCTGAGAAGCTGGAATTACAGGTACCTGCCACCACACCTGGCTAATTTGTGTATTTTCAGTAGAGATGGGGTTTCACCAGGTTGGCCAGGCTGGTCTCAAACTCCTGACCTCAGGTGATCTTCCCGCCTCAGCTTCCTAAAATGTTGGGATTACAGGTGTGAGCCACTGCACCCGGCCAGCATAACATACGAAGGCTCATTCATGGTATAGTCTGTATCAGCACTTTGCTCATTGTTATGGCTGAGTATATATAACTCTTTATTCATAAGTTGATGGACATGGGATATTTGCACTGTTTGGCTATTAAGAATAATGCTGTCATGGACATTTCTGCACAAGTTATTATGTGGATGTGTTTTCCTTTCTTTTCTTTTTTTTTTTTCTTTTTTGAGATGGTGTCTCACTCTGTCACCCAGGCTGGAGTGCAGTGGCACGATCTCGGCTCACTGCAACCTCCGCCTCCTGGGATCAAGCGATTCTCCTGCCTTGGCCTCCCAAGTAGCTGGGATTACAGGTGGGTATCACCACGTCTGGCTAATTTTTGTATTTTTAGTAGAGATAGGGTTTCGCAATATTGGTCAGGTTGGTCTTGAACTCCTGACCTCGTGATCCACCTGCCTTAGCCTCCCAAAGTGCTGGGATTACAGGCATGAGCCACCGCGCCTGGCATGTTTACCTTTTCCTAAGAGTGGAATTGTTGGGTTACGTGGTAATCTTCTGAGGAACTGCAAGACTGTTTTATGAAGTGACTATGCCATTTTACATTTCAACCAGCAATACATGAAGGATCTAATTTCTCCAAATCTTTGCCCACCCTTGTTGTTTTCTGTTTGTTTGTTTATTTATTTATTTTTGTAGAGACGGGGTTTCACCATGTTGGCCAGGTTGGTCTTGAACTCCTGACCTCAAGTGATCCACCTGCCTCAGCCTCCCAAAGTGCTAGGATTACAGGTGTGAGCCACTGTGCCTGGTCTATTTTCCGTTTTTTATATTAAAGGCATCCTAGAGGTTCTGCAGTGGTATCTCATTGTATTTTGATTTGATTTGCATGTCCTTCATGACCAATGAACATCTTTTCCTGTGTTGTTGCTTTCATCTGTATATTTTTAGACGGATATCTATTCAAGCCTTTACCCGCCCCCCGTTTTTTTATGTAGAAATGGGGTCTCTATATATTGTCCAGTCTTGCTATGTTGCCCAGGCTGGTCTCAAATTCCTGGCCTCAAATACTTCTGCCTTTATTTCTCTTCACGCTGAAATTACAGGCGTGAGACGCTGCTCTCAGCCATTGTCCATTCTTTTTTTTTTCTTTTTTTTTTTTTATGGAGTCTCATTCTGTCACTCAGGCTGGAGTGCAATGGCATGATCTTGGCTCACTGCAGCCTCCACCTTCCGAGTTCAAGTGATTCTCCTACCTCAGCTTCCCAAGTAGCTGGGATTACAGGCATGTGCCACCACGCCTGGCTGATTTTTATATTTTTAGTAGAGATGGGAGTTTCACCATGTTGGCCAGGCTTGTCTCGAACTCCTGACCTCAGGTAATCCACCTGCCTCAGCCTCCCAAAGTGCTGGGATTATAGGCGTGAGCCATCGCACCTGGGCCTGAAATTGTTCTTTGATGCACAAAAGCTTTACCATTTTTTCTTAAGTTCAGTGCGTCTTTTTACTGTGGCTGCCCATGATTTGGGTGTCTAATGCAAGAATCCACTGCCAGCCTTTTAGTCCTTTCGCACAGGGGAACAAGGTCGTGAAGAAAAGGTCTTGGTGAGGTGCCACCATTTCTTCCGTCCTCGGTCTCTGTGCCTTTAGCAGAGCTTCCAGCAGCTCTATGTTGGGCCAGAGCATCCGGAGATTCACAACCTCTTCCGTCTGTAGGTGCCACTACAAGGAGGGCCCTGGGAAGAATTTGCCATTTTCGGTGGAAAACAAGTGGTGGTTATTAGCCACGATGTGTTTGTACTTTGGATCTGGATTTGCTGCACCCGTCTTTAGAGTAAGACACCAACTGCTTAAAAACTAAGGATGTTTCAGTTCATCCATTTAACAGATATGAAGAGCATTTTAAGAAGTGCAGTCTCTAGGCCGGGCACGGTGGCTCACACCTGTAATCCAAGCACTTTGGAGGCCAAGGCGGGGGGATCACCTGAGGTTGGGAGTTCAAGACCAGCCTGACCAACATGGTGAAACCCTGTCTTTTAAAAAACAAAAAAAAGAGGTGCAGTCTCTGGAAAATGCATCAAACTTGAACTCATACAGCATACTAGATATGTGTGTAGCTAAACTTATGACATGAAAGAAAAACAGACTCCATGGCCAAATTCAAGGTCATGAAGATTTACTCCTATGACTTCTTCTAAGAGTTTTTATAGTTTTAGCTCTTAGATCTAAATAGTTTAAATTGAAGTTAAGATTTAAACATACAGTGAAGTGCACACATTAGTGTGTTCAGCTTAATGACTTTAAAATAATTTGTAATTTGTTATTATTTTTAAGACAAGGTCTTGCTCTATCTCCCAGGCTGGAGCGCAGTGGTGCAATCATAGCTCACTGCAACCTTGAACTCCTGGGCTCAAGCTATCCTCCCACCTCAGCCTCCTGAGTAGCTGGGACAACAGGTCTGCCACCACGCCAATTACTTATTTATTTATTTTAGTCGAGAGGAAGCTGTTGCCCAAGCTAATCTCAAACTCCTGAGCTCAAGTGATCCTCCCACCTCAGCCTCTCAAAGTATTGGGATTACAAGTATGAGCCTCATGCTCAGCCTCAACGACTTTTTACATATATATGAACCCATGTAACTACCACCTTATCCTGATGATGTTTTCAGCAACCGAGAAGGCTCCTTGTGACTCCTCCCAGTCCTACCCGCACCCATAGGTAGCCACTATTCTGCCTTCTGTCATCATAGATCAGTTTGGCTCGTTCTTGAACTTCGTATACATGGAACCATATGGTGGGTACTCTTTTGGGCCTGGCTTCTTTTACTCAACATGTCTGTGGGATTCTTCTGCATCACGGAGTGACCTGGTAGCTTGGTCTTTTCTGTTGCTGTGTCCCACTGCACAAATCTCCCACAGTCGGTCTCTCCATTCTCCATTCCTCTGCTGATGACATCAGGGGGCGGGGGGGCCTTCCAGTTTTGGATTTTTATGAATAAGGCAGCCGTGAATATTCTCGATACATCTTTTTGGGAGCCAGTTACGTTCATTTCTCTTGGCTATATGCCCAGGTTGGGAGGAATTATTGGGTCATATGGTTCGTGTACATTTACTTCAATTGACTCTCACCACCAGTGCTCCAGCGTGGTTGTACGATTTTACATCGAACCCACACTGTTCAATGGGTAAGAGGTCCAGTTGCTCCACATCTGAAGACGACTTTGTGTTTTTAGACAGACTCTCACTCTATCATCCAGGCTGGAGTGTGCAGGGGCGCAATCTCGGCTCACTACAACCTCCGCCCCCCAGTTCAAGCGATTCTCCTGCCTCAGCCTATCAAGTAGCTGAGACTATAGGCACCTGCCACCACTGCTGTCTACATTTTGTATTTTTGTAGAGATGGGGTTTCACCATGTTGTCCAGGCTGGTCTCGAACTCCTGACCTCAGATGATCTACCCACCCTGGCCCCCCAAAGTGCTGGGGTTATAGGCATGAGCCATCGTGGCCAGACTGGAGATGAGATTTTAATCCACTTCTCCATACATTTCTTTTCCTTGGTCCTGGCCCCATTCTTTCTCCCCTGAACGCCCTCCACAGCTTCCAGCTCAGCACTTCCCACCCACCACCCTTAGGGATTATTTTAATCATGAAGAATTTTAAGAGTTCAAGACCAGCCTGGCCAACATGGCCAGCGTTTCACCCTCAGACGTGGACCTGCCCCGGGTATGGCACCTTTGGCATTGCTATGCAGGAAGGCTTGAAGCCTGGGAAGGGGTGAGCTGAGGGTGCTTGACGTACCCCATGTTCTTTTAGGTTACGTGCTGCTTGGGAGGCTTGAAGGGCTAAGAGGATAGTAGTTCTTGCTCACTGAACTCTGTTGAACCATTCCAAGTAATGTATTTAATCCTCCCAGCAACTCTGTGAGATAGATGGTATAATAATACTCTTTCTTTTTCTCTTTTTTTTTTTTGAGTTGGAGTTTTGCTCTTGTTGCCCAGGCTGGAGTGCAATGGTGTGATCTCTGCTCACAGCAACTTCTGCCTTCCAGGTTCAAGCGATTCTTCTGCCTCAGCCTCCCGAGTAGCTGGAATTACAGGCATGCACCACCATGCCCGGCTAATTTTGTATTTTTAGTAGGGAGGGGGTTTCTCCATGCTGGTCAGGCTGGTCTCCAACTCCTGACCTCAGGTGATCCACCCACCTCAGCCTCCCAAAGTGCTGGCATTACAGGCTTCAACCGCCGCACCTGGCCAATAGTACTTACTTTACAGATCAGGAAGTGGAAGCTCAGAGAAATTAAGCAACTTGCTAACAGCCACACAGTGAGGAGGAAAGTGTGTGGAATCAAGACCCTCGCAAACCTGGCGGGGCTTGGCCAAATGCACAGACTTTTTCTTTGTAGGGACCTGTTCACTCTCTGCGCCAGGCTGCCAGATCAAGCCCCTCACCTTTGCACAGATGGTTTCCTCTGCCCAAGGGACCTCCCTGCTCCCCTCACCTGGCTGACTGTCTCTTATCCTGCAGCTTTCAGTTTCCCCACTTCCTCAGCAAGGTCCTCCATGAACCCCGACCCAGGTGAAATCCCTTATGCAATACAGTCCCCAGTACAGTGCAGGACGGTGACTTTTTACTTTCTTTTTTTGAGATGGAGTCTCACTCTGTCACACAGACTGGAGTGCGGTGGTGCAGTCTCCGCTCACTGCAAACTCCGCCTCCCAGGTTCAAGTGATTCTCCTGCCTCAGCCTCCTGAGTAGCTGGGATTATAGGTGCAGGCCACCACAGCTGGCTAATTTGTTTTTAATATTTTTAATAGAAACAGGGTTTCACCATGTTGGTCAGGCTGGTCTCCACCCACATCGGCCTTCCAATGTGCTGGGATTACAGGTGTGAGCCACCACACCTGGCTGAGGATATTACCTTTTATTCTCCCTGCTTGGAATAATGTTTGAAGGTATTGCATTTTGGAGATGGATACACATGTATCTATATGTATATATCTATCTGCATCTACCAAGTTGATGGCCATAAAAAGGGGGTGTGGAGAAGAAATTATTTATTTATTATTAGTTTTTAAGACAGAGTCTTGCTCTGTCACCCAGCCTAGAATGCAGTGGCACGATCGCAGCTTACTGTAACCTCCTCCTCCTGGGTTCGAGCAGTTCTCCCGCCTCAGCCTCCTGAGTAGCTGGCACTACAGGCACCTGCCACCACACTTGGCTATTTTTTTGTATTTTAATAGACATAGGGTTTCACCGGGGTGGTTTTGAACTCCTGAGCTCAGGCAATCGGCCTAACTTGGCCTCCCAAACTGCTAGGATTATAGGCATGAGCTACCACACCTGGCCTGGAGAAGAAATTATTTTTAAACATTGTTTTTAAATTGTTTTTATGTAGCTCTACATTAAAAACATAATTGCATTTCTTTTTCAACTAGTTAATACATTAAGATATTTTAAAATCCAAAAGTTACAAAAGGGGTATGAGAAGCCTCCCCTCTACTGTAACCAGTTTCTTGTGTATTTTTTTTTTACCCAGTGGGTAGACTGTGTACATCCTGTTTCCTTTCTTGCTTTCATTTTCTTTCTTTTCTTTCTTTTTTTTTTTTTTTTTTTTTTTTTCATTTTTGTTTTCTTATTATCTTGGAAGATCTTTCACTGAGCATATGTAGATCTGCCTCGATTAAAAATCTGACAATCCATGAAAAAAAGAAAAAGAAATTGTTTCCTATAATCTATGAAAAAAAGAGAAGTCCGGCGGAGCACTGCGGCACAAGCCTATAATCCGGGCACTTTGAGAGGCTGAGGCAAGGGGATCACTTGAGCCCAGGAGTTGGAAGCTGCAGTGAGCTGTGATCAGGCCACTGCACTCCAGCCTGGGCAACAGTGAGACCCCGTCTCACAAAAACAAAAACAAAAGCTTCCTTGTTGAGGTGTATCTTACATTCAGTAGAACGCACGCTTTGTTAATGTGCCAGTCGTGTATACACCCGTGTAGCCACGTTCCAATCCAGATACAGAACACTCCCATCCCCCTGGAAAGTTGTCTCCTGTCCCTTTGCGGTCGATTCCCCCATCCCAGGAAATCACCTAACTCATTTCTGTTGTCATCAGTTAGTCTTGTCTCTTGCAGAATTTCACGTCAATGGAATCGTTCAGCACGTGCCCTTTCGTGCCTGGCTTCTGTCTCCCATTGCACAGATGTGCCACTGTTTCTTTATCCATTCTTCTGAATTAACCAAACTAAAAGTTGAATGGAGCCAGATGTGGGGGAGGTAGGGATGATTAAAGACTTGGTCCCAGGCCAGGGACAGTGGCTCATACCTGTAATCCCATCACTGGGAGGCTGAGGTGGGCAGATCACCTGAGGTCAGGAGTTCAAGACCAGCCTGGCCAACATGGTGAAACACTGTCTCTATGAAAAATCCAAACATTAGCTGGGTGTGGTGGCAGGCGCCTGTAATCCCAGCTACTCAGGAGGCTGAGGCACGAGAATTTCTTGAACCTGGGAGGTGGAGGTTGCAGTGAGCCAAGATTGCGCCATTGCACTCCAGGCTGGGCGATAGAGTGAGACTCTGACATAAAAACCGAACAAACAACAACAAAAAAACCACTTGGTCCTCCTGGCCCTGCAAGGCACTTGCAGCCCAAAGAAATGGTCAGACACTCAGAATAGTCCTAGTGCTAAGGAGACAGTGCTAGGGGGTAGCCAGAGAGTGCCAGGACCATTACTGGAGCCCCAGGAAGGAAGAGTTCTTTCCAACTGTGGTGGGGGTGGGTGGGAGAAGCCTTCCTGGCAAAGCAGGATTTGGGGAAGACATTCATAAAAAGTGGGGCTCCCTTTCGCTCACCAGCCACCTCTCC